GAAACACCCAAATATGTTTAATGAACCCTACTATTATTATTAGAATAGACATGCGCACACACACACACACAATCAACCATGATTCTGGGTAAAAAGTGAAGGACCCCAACTTGAAAGAAGGAATGTGATTGAAATGCTTGATAATGAGGACCAAATATCCTCTCCCCCCCTCCTCTTTCACACAAACACACACACAGAGTAAAAATCCTTCTGAAGAAAAGGAAAGATTAACTTTGGGTGAAATTGAAGTTACTTGATTCAGTGAGGAAATGAGTCGTCACCTGAGTGAAACTGTAATTGATACACAGAAGGGGATTATATGCAAAACAAGTGAAATAAATGGTTAGTGAATATTGAATTAATAATTAATAACTTAAAATTTACTTCGATGAAAGAGGAGGAAGCAAGTAACATGTATCATCGTAAATAACAATTATTTTACTTTCAAAATTAAAATGTAGTACTTTGATTACCAAACATTAATTTCCTTAGATTTAGATGGCTCACTATACATAATACTGAAAGGTAATAAATGTATTCTGATGGTTATAGAATGTCATTTTTTCTCAAACCACCAACTTAAGTGATGATCTAACTAAGATATTAGGAGGTGGTTCAGTAACAACAAGAAATATATTTTAATTAAATAAGTATTGCGTAAGCATCTACTAAACAATAGTTAATAGAGATATATTTAAGTAATTACTAGATCACTATATAAAAATGTTGAAACTGTAATAGGCCTTGCCTACTTTGCCAAGGCTTGCTTTTATATTATCTCTCTCACTATTTATTAATCTGTACATTTCAATGTGTCTCTCCTTTATGCTCTTTTCCTCTTTCCTATTACCCATCATCTTCTTCTTATGCTCAAAATAAATATAGCCCTGAGCTCAAGAAGACTTCAGAAACTGTAGGAGGTAGACATCTTCCTACATTCTGGTCAAGATAATTATGGAAATGAGTAACTTAAAAGAATATATTTATTGTTATTTTAAAATGTTATTAAAATAGTTGTAGTAGTAGTATTGATTAAGCAGGTGAGTTTCAGGTAAGCACCTCACTTAAGATCAGTTCAAGTGTAAATTCGTTTTAGAAAGATGATTCATAAGTAATAGAATAATATACAAATGTTTTTGGTAAACTCTAAAAGTTGTCACCAAAATCAAGACAAAGCACACAAGCCAACAGATGTTGAACAACATTTTCCCACCAGACCATATATTTTTAAGGCTGGTTTAAAATTCAAGATTTCTAACTTTGCCTTTAACACCCATCTATGGTTTATACAGAACAAGAGCGACTAACTATACCAGAGTTATGCATAAGAAATAGTTTCTGACTTATCCTCATTCAGAATGCACAATATGCAATAGTTTCCTCTATTCCTTAGAATGTCAAGAAAGATACTGGGCAGGTTAGGAAAGATATTTGTTGGGATGAAAGGAAAGATTGGTTTTCATTGCTCTCCAAGGTGTCTGTAATTTCTCCTTAAAATAGGGTCTTCCAGGAGTGGCTTCTCTTCAACGATTTTGCTTTCAGAAATACCCCTCAGTTGTAAAAATAGGGAGTGAGAACCAATGAACCCTAATATTTACCACATGTTTCCATTAGTACATACATCCCCTTGGGACTCTAAGACAACCGCTCTAAGTGGTTTAGGAATATAGCAATAAGGGTTAAGAATGTATTTAGATCATATTTAGGCCATATTTAGTTCCATTTTCACCGCTTCCCAGTGAGCTGATTGACTTTGGGGAACTCACCTCAATCTCTATGTGCCAGTTTCCTTCTAGATGAAATGGGGCTCAACATGATACCTACCTCCTAGGCTTCCATGAGGTTTAAACGTATTAGTATATAAAGGTTAAATAGAATAGTGCCTTGCACATAATAAGTATTTAATAGGTGTTTTTAAGGTGCAGCAGATCAGGCATAACAGAGTGGCTGAAACCTCTCAGACTTGTGGCTTCTAAAACTATGAACCACCAATAACTATTGGAGGGTGCACAAGAGCTTTCCGTAGCAGAAATAAGTAAAAATTGTTGCAGAAGTTTCAGCCGTAGACATCTAGGCAAATTTTTGTTTTCTTAGTAATTGAATCTTTACTGTAAAGAATTTCATGATTCTTACTAATTTCAAAATATCCAACAATACCAGTTAATCTGGTCACAGGTTGTTAAAATTAGGCTGATTATGGATCCTATTCTTTAATCTTAAAGCTTTGCAATCATTAGTGAATTGAAATGCACAATGTTTTCTGGGGCTGTGGGGGTGAAATGATGGCTGGTGTCTTGCAGTGAAGAGCTAGGAGTGGAAATGCATCATGGTTTTTGCATGGCAAAGAGACTATAACATTGTTTTAGGCTCTTGTTCCTGGAATGTGAGGGCTAAGACCCAGTACCAGATCAACAAACCAAGACTTTATGCAGAAAAGTGCAGTGTCATTCTTACCCTCTTTTCCACAATTTTGTCTCTGCCTTTCCTCTTAAAAAAAAATAATTTTTATTAATGGTAAAGTAAAATCTGGAATTCTTTCCAATTAAACCCTAAGATATCCATTGTAAGCAAGAAATTGATCTGGCTGGTGTGGCTCAATGGTTGAGCATCAACCCATGTACCAAGAGATTGCTGGTTTGATTCCCGGTCAGGGCACATGTCCAAGTTGTGGGCCTGATCCCCACTGGGGGGCATGCAGGAGGAGGCCAACTGATGTTCTCTCTCATTGATGTTTCTATCTCTCTCTCCCTCTCCCTTCCTCTCTCTCTAAAATCAATAAGAAAAAAAAAAATCAAGAAATTAACTTCTTTTCTGTGCCTCTGGTTTAGTTCTATTTGTTTTAGTTCCTTGAGAGAACTGAGATGTTGGTCACTTATTGTTCCATGTGATTCAGTTGTCACCAAGTCCAACGTCACATTTAAGCAAAGAAGGAAAAAAACAACAACACACAATTAATACATTTAGATGACATCCCAACTTAATAGGAGTGGCTTATTTGAAGCAGATGAAATGGATATAACTTCAATGAAGCAGAAATGGATGATTTTGTCCTGGGTTACCTGCTTAGCATGCCATCACTATGATAATGCCCGGCCTCCTAATGTTCTATTCTATTTTTCATACCTGCTATTTTTCTCTCCTTATGTACAATGGGTCTTATAAAATCTCCAGCAGTTTTTAGAAAGGTATATTGAGAAAAACATATATTCCATGGTTTGGTTATAAATTAATAAGCAACTTTTGGATAAGGGACAAAACAGAAAAGTAACAAGAAGACTAGATTACTGCTTTAAAAAAAAAAAAAAAAAACTATCTCCACAAGAACAGAGCACTCTTTCTCATGTTTTTTTTATTTTTATTTTTTATTTCTTTATTGATTTTAGAGAGAGAGGAAGAGAGAGGGAGAGAGAGATAGGAAACATCGATGAGAGAGAACATCGATTGGCTGCCTCTAGCATGCCCCCCACCAGGGGTTTGGCCCACAACCTGGGCATGTGCCCTGATTGGGAATCAAACTGATGACCTCTTGGTGCATGGATCAACACTCAACCACTGAGCCACACTGGCCAAGCTAGATTACTGGTTTTATTTATTTATTTATTTTTATCCTCACCTGAGGACATTTTTGCATTTATCTTCGCATAGAGTGGGAGGGAGAGAGGAAGGAAGAGAGAGAGAAACATCGATGTGAGAGAGACCAATTGACTGGCTGCCACCCACACGACCCCAATTGGGGCCAGGGACAAACTGCAACTGAGGTATGTGCCCTTAGCGGGAACAGAACCTGGGACTCTCTGGTCACTCTAACTGCTGAGACAAACCAGCCAGGGCTAGATTACTGCTTTTAAACCCAGTCTATAAAATACTCTTTAGTTTGTTCGTCCTCAATGACAGAGGAGTTAGAAAATAAATTATTAACTTGTAAGTGTACTTTTTTTTTTTATTTTCACACTCAGCTAAATTGTTTATATTTATGTGTCAGTTACTTATCAATTATTTTTCACATATGTCTACTTAATCCTCATCATAAACCTCTAAATATGGTTGGTCTTTTCAGTCTATCCTTTAAGGAGAGAATCTTGAGACTCAGCTAGTAAACATGTATCCCGAACCTACAGGGAGTAAACAAAAGAGCCATATCTAAAGTTCACTGTTCGGGTTCTAAATCCAGTGCTCTCTCCGGTTTTAACATGCTGCTTTTCCCTCTGATTAAGTTTATCCTATAACTGATGCATGGCATGGTATGTAAAAAATTATACTGATTATTTTTATAACATAACTCTAAAACATTCCAATATAACAGTACTAGAACAATGCCCTAGAAATAAATTTTCTGTTTGCAGCAAAATTAAATTTCAGTAACAGTGTCTAACTCAGACCATGTGTAGGGAGAATAACTTCACCTGATGAACACCCATTACTCAGTTGTAAGTGAAGGAGGGAGGAGGTTTAGAAAGTGAACTGTAGCATCACATTACATTAGGGCCCATCTCAGCTCCACCAATCACTTCTGGACGATTTCAGGCATTTACATAATCCCACTGTGCCACGATTTCCTCAATCAAGGAATGAAAAATTCCTATGTCATAGAAATTGTCATGAGGATTAAACTAGTTAATCTATATAAAGTGCTCAGGACACTGCCTGGTACATAATATACGCTTGAAAAAGCATGTGGTCAAAAATGTTGATGATGCTGATTATGTGCTTTTAAAGAATTTAGAAAGAATTTAATCCCACTCTTTGCTTGTATAATTGAAAATGAGCTCACATTTGGCTTACTGAGATCATAACAGAACTAATTCCTCTAAACTGCTTGTTGCTATTTCACAATAGTTACTTGAGTATGTTCTCAGTCTTGAAAGGTGGCATTAATCAGAAGAGTAATTACCCTGAGAAGCCTATAAAAACAAGATTTCATCTTTCTTTTACCAAAGAATAGCACAACTCTCAGATATTTTGAGCTCTGCCTCAAGTTCACTATAGTAAGTCTGTCAGCAATGAAGATACTTTGTGTTCTCCTGACCTTCGTCTTCACTGCGTCTTGTGGTCCATCAGGTAATACTTCTTAATATGGCAAAAGAGGGAATGGCAAAACTTTGTTTTTATAAATGCTCTACTGTGGAAAAATAAAACAAATAAATGATTGTTAGGAAACTGTAAATGATTTCCTAAAACAATTTACTCTATTTTGCATGGAAGAAGAAATGAGTGCAACTGATAGTTGATAAGATAATGGGGGGGGGGTGTCCCGATATGTATAATTAAAATCGCTGTTTTATTTGATGAGACTATGACTCTTTACGTCCTTTCTACTGCCTTCTCTTTTTAAATGTAATATGATGAACTGATAATGATTGTAGCTGCTGTCAAAAGTAAGCTTTCTATAACTAACGAGCCCAGTCATTTATAATAACTTAGAGGGGTTTTGGAGGTAGATAGCTATTTAGAACATAGAACATGTAGACTAATTTTCCACATCTTTTTCTCTTGAGGTAGCATGCACAGATTAGATATTTAAAGATATTATATTTACACACACACAAATGCTAGTGGTAAAGGAAATATTGTTGGGTAAATAAGTACTTATACCAATTTACGGGGGATAAAATCACAACTTTTTAATACAGTTGCCTGGGCATGATTTCAGAAACAAAATGGTTTAACCCTATACTTTAAACAACTTTATTTACGTATCTATCATCTATCTATCTATCTATCTATCTATCTATCTATCTATCTATCTATCTATCTATCATCTATCTATCTATCATCTGTTTGTCTATCCATTTCTCTATGCAAGTGGATTAAACTTGGATTTATGATTGTGGCTACTTTTTCTCAGTTTCACAGAGGCAAACAAGAGGAAAAACAAGAGAAGTTATACTAAGAAAAGCAGAGTGTTACCTTGTTCGTGGTGCTTGCAAGACTTCATGCAACACCTGGGAATACATATATAATTACTGCAATAATGAGCCGTGCTGTGTTGTACGGGAATATATAAAGCCAAACACTAACCACAGCACTTTCACAGCTAATACAAATGTAATTCCTAATTCTACTACGCTCCACAACACTACGTTGTAACAATATTATTAATAAAAGAGAACTTTCTACTTTCTTTAAATCTGGTTTCCCATGGATGTTCTTCAGCATTCTGGTTTATACAACTGCGGCCCGGTGGCTCTGACTTCAACGTTGGGTTAGTACAACTGGAAGAAAGAAGAGTAATAAATTGCTTCTTCATTATATTGGCAGTTTTCCTCCACTCATATGACAAACACCCTCTATCCTTAATACTTCCTTTCATCTCTAGCTGTTTATTTGCCCTGTGCAGTAGCCTACCTACTTTCATGTGATCTTTTAGGTATCAACCATCAATTATGGTTTATGCTACCTTTCCATATTTTTAACAACAATGTGCTTGAGTCTTGGACACAAAGTCATATACATCCTAATCACATAATAGGACAGTGTTGCTGAGGTGATAAAGGAGAATCAAACAAAACGAAACAAAGGGTAAACTGTGAATAAAAGTAAGTAAAAGACATTTAAAGGTGTGTTTTTTTTCTTATGATAAAATAAGAAGAAAATTAGGAAGAATACCAACATCTTTGAAAAGAAAAAGAAAAGTCATTCCTAATGTTACTATCCAGAACTCTTCATCGTAATCAATTCTGAACATAAGCAGTCAATCCAAGGGTCTTCTCTCCTGGTCCTTAAAAATTTTATTTAATTCCTTTATCTTATCATTCAGTATTTAATGCTTCCATCCTGTCTTTGTCCTCAATGAACTCATTGTGTTTCCAGGTTTTCACATTTATTTTATTATAATATTAGATTAATGTTAAGATAAACTTTCTTATGAATTACAAGCTTTCCTTCAGTAAATGCTTGATGTTCAGCATTTAAAGTCTCTACTGAGTGTGTGTGTGTATATATACATATATATGTATATATATAGATATATATACCTATACCTATAACAAAAATCTGGATAATATAAAAACTTAGGTCCAAATTCTGATTTAGAGGAAATAAAAAAGTTTAGCACATTGGGGAGTGTAAGAGAAAAGGATAATTTCCAGTTTAGTTTTCTTACTTGGAAAAATTGCTGAACAATGCAATCATTTATTAAGAAATATTACAAACAATGCAGATTTGAAAGAAACGTTTATGACATGTTAAGTTTAGACTTCCCTGCTGTATATATGAATGAAGCTCATGAAAGAAAATATCTGCTTCAAATATAGATTTGAGGAGCCATTAATTGAAGTGATAAGATAACATCACCCAAGGGAAGACTACAGATTGAAAGGGGGAGAAGAAAAGGTCTAAAATCCTAAGAAATAACATTTAAAGGATGTTAAAAAAAATTAGACTGTACAAAGGAAGGCCAGAAGCAGCAGCTAGACAATGAGAATGCATTCTTAATTTTTATGTCTTTCAAAATGAGGGCCCAGACACAGAAAAAAAAGAGCTAATACATTTCCACTATTATTCATGTTAATATTTGACACACAGAACCAATGAGAATCTTAAAACAGGTTTTGTTTTAAGCCATTAAGTTTCAGGGTAGTGTGCTACATGGCAATATTAACCAGAAGTATGCATAATTTCCAATTACAAAAATTTTTAAAAACCATGAATCATAAGCAGGACTTCTACAATGATAAAGGTAAAGAACTCCAAAAATCTGCCCCTTCATAAAAGCAACAAAAAAACTGGCAAGAATGACTGACATGTAATTTTTAAGATCTCTGCAAATTAACCATAGACTTGCAAAAATCCAAGGCGTATTTATTCAAGAAAAAAACAAACAAACAAACAAAAAAAACCCATTGAATTTCAGTGAAAGCAGCTAGCTTTATGGCATTTTAACTACTCTATTACTGTCCAACTCTCCCCAGCTCTGCAATAGCCTTGAAAACCAGCAGCCTCCCAATCATAGTAGCTGTAAACACATAATGAATATATACATCTTAATAATAATAAAGAAACACATAACCCAATTATAAAATGTACAAAGGGATCTGATATATATTTCTCCAAGGAATATATGCCAATGATCAAGAAGCACATGGAAAGATGTTTAGCCCCAATAGCCAGGAATCAGATACAGATCAGTATCACAATGAGTTACCACTTCCCACCCACTAAGAGGGCTATACTTAAAACAAATTATATTAACACATGATAAGGAGAGTAAGAAGAAATTGGAACTTTTATACACTGCTAGTAGGAATGCAAATTGGAGCAAATAGTCAGTAGCCTGAAGGTACCTGAAAAGTTAAGAATGGAGTTTTCATTTGACTCTGCAATCCCACACTTAGCATATGTGCAAGAGAAATAAAAACATGTCAAGGCAAATATTTGTACACAAATGTTTATAGCAGCATTGTTTGTAACAGCTAAAAGGTGAAAACAACACAAATGTCCAAAAACTGATAGGTTGATAAAAATTATGTGGCACAACCAGACAATGGAATATTATTGGGCAATAACATGTAAAGATGTATTGATTCATGCTACAAATTGATAAACCTTGAAAGTATTATAATAAGTGAAAGTAACCAGTCACAAATTTCACATATTATATTATTCCATTTGTGTAAAATATTAAGACTCGTAAATCTGTAGATATAGGAAGTATGTTCACGGTTGTCTAGGGCTTAGTGGAGGTGAGCTCAGGGGGTGATAGCTACAGGTGTACAGGGTTTCTTTAGGGATAGTGAAAATATTCTAAAATTGATTGTGGTGATACTTACATAACTCTGTGAACTTATTAAACACCATTGAATTGTACACATTAAGTAGGTTAGTGGTATGGTACATGATTATATCTCAATAATGTTGTTATTTTAAAAAAGAATACAGGCAAACTTCCTGTCAGAAATTATGTAAGACAACAATGCATCCACATGTTTACATACTGAAAATAATTGTCAACCTACAATTCTGTTCAGTGAAAAAAAAAAATTGTTTCAAAAGTAAAAGTGAAATAAAGATATTTTCAAGAAAAGAAAACTTAAAAAAAAAAGTACTTCCAACAGTGCTTTCTTTAAGAAATATACAAAATTTCTTCAGTAGAAGAAAAAGTATACAAGATAAAAAACTGGATTTACCAAAGGAATAAATTGGGCTGTAATTTGTAAATGTGTGACTAAATGTAAATATCCTTTCCCTTAGTTTTTAATATCTATGAAAGATAATTTACTGCCTTTAACAAGAGTAATAATATATCTTGCAGTTTATAGCACTGCAGAAAGAAACAAATGAGAATAATTACCTAGATCACAGGGACGAGGAAATAGAAGTATGGGATTATAAGTTTTCTACACTATATGTGTAAATTAAGACATGTATTATAAACCCAAGAACTAGGACAAAAAAGATATACAGTCAATGGGGTAGATAAATGTAGTCATAAAAAAAATACACAGATAGAAAGGAAAGGAAATGGGAACAAAGGCAGGAAAACCAAATAGAAAATTAATAAGATGGCAGGTTTAAATACAACCACATTGTAATTCCATTAAATGTAACTATTATGAACATAGCGATTAAGAGGTAGAGACTGTCAGAATAGTGTATGAGTTATCTATTCCTGCATAACAAATTACCCCAGTAAGTAACAACTTGAAATATTTATTATTTTATAAATCATATGAGAAGAATTCCAGAAACAGCTTATCTTGGTGCTCCTGTCTCAAGGTCTCTGATGAGCTTGCGCTGGAGCAGGTGACCTGAACTTGAGACATCCCAATACTCAGCTGAGGCTGAAGGCTCTGCTTCTCAGCTCCCTTGTGTGGTTTCTGGCAGGCTTCATTCTTAAAATCTTTTGAATTTAGGGCTTCACTTCTTTACAAGTTGTCAAATACAGAAGGTCACAAATTCTATTTATATCATTTGGGACCCTCACAATACAGCATCTTGCTTCCCACAACATAGGCGGTGAAAGGGAGAGACAGAGACATCGTGACATGCACACAGATAAGGGCTCTTGGGTTACAGATCAAAACTATTTTTAAATGGTTATATTAAAATATATGAAATGTCTCAAAGCAATGATTTAAGCTTCCATTTTAAGAATTTAGAAACAAAAGTTCAAATTAAACATAATTTTATAAAATACATACTTCAATGAAACTTTTGTTTTTTTCTTAGCAGAAAGAAGAAAATAAGATCAGCAATTAATTAAATATAAAAAACGATCAGTAAAAAACAAAACTGTTCCTTTAAAAATATCTTCTTCAGAAATCTCAAAATAGATTGGTCAAAAAAATGAGAGAAAGCACAGGTGATCAATATCAGGAATGGAATAGGAGAAATCGCTATAGATGCAACAGATTTTATAAGAACAGTAAGACAATGTAATAAACAACACTTTATCAGTACTTTGGTTAACTGTTATAAAAAGAATAAATTCCACAAATGATGTAAACTACCAAGATTCACTCAAGAAAATAATTTACAACTTGAATAATTTTATATCTATGTTTCAAAATAATGTATGTATACAAATCTTCCCACATAGAAAATACCAGGTACTAATAGCCAAACTGTTGAATTCTTCTAAATGTTTAATAATAAATGTATACACATTATACATTAATGCTTCTGTACAATGTAATGAGAGACATTTTCCAAGTCATATGAGTAAAATAAGTCAGACAGAAAAGGACAAATAGCATATGATCCCACTTGTGTGTGAAATATTAAAAAACAAAATAAATTAGCAAACAAAATAGAGACAAACTCATAGAAACAGAACAAACTGATGGTTGCCAGGTGGGAGGGGGTGGGAGCTGGGGAAAAAAGGTGAAGGGACTAAGAAGTACAAATTGGCAGTTACAAAATAGTCATAAGATGTGAAGTGCAGCATAAGGAATATAGTAATACTATTGTAATAATTACACATGATGTTGGGAGGTACTAAACTTATTGTGGGGATCACTTTATACGTTACATAAATTTCTAACCACAATGCTGTGCACCTGAAACTAATATAATGTTGAATGTCAACTGTAATTTATAAATTTAAAAATAATTTTAAAAGACAACATTGGAAGGCAACATGATTGACTATATAGTGAAACTAAGGAATCTAAAAATTAAGATAATACAACTACTAATTGAATTTTGCAAGGTTGTTGGTATGTGACCAATATAAAACATCAATTATATTTCTGTAAACTAGTAATAAATACTTGGAAATTAAATTTTAAAGTATTATATATGAAAGCATCCAAAATATAACAAAATTAAAGGCAGAGATATAAAAATATATATACTCCCTCCCTCTGAAAATTGCATTGCTGAGAGAAATTAAAGAATAGCTAAATAGTAGAGTGATACACCTTGTTCATATATTGGAAAGGTCAAAATGTCAAATCTCATCAAACTGTTCTATAGATTCAACAAAATTCCATCTGGATTTTAAAATAGATATAGGCAATCTTATTTTTTTAATTATATGGAAAATCACAAGACCTAAAATAGCCACAGTAAGTTGAAGAATTTAGAACTACATTGTAAAGCTTACACCACTTGGTTTTAGGTTTTACAATAATTGAGAGATGTTCATATTGACATAAAGGAGAGAGATACACAACGCAAAGTCCACAAGCAAACTCTAATATATGCAGTCAATTTTTTTTTTTTTTTTTTGCAAAGATGCTAAAAAAATTCATTTGGATTATATGTTTAGTTTTGGAGTTCTTCCTCTGTAATACAAATATTTCTACGCATTGGAGACTCACTGTAGAACAAGACATATACAATTCTTCCATCATAGTTTTTATTTTTGTTTAAGTGAAACTACAGCCCAAGTGAACAAATTATGTGAAGTGAGCTACGATTTCTAGTAAAGGAACTTTTGTCTCAGAAACAAAAGCAAGGTTTCTTCTTCAAGACATTAAGAGTCCTAACACCTGATCACATTAAGAACCTCATTCAACCTCTATTCACAAAAACCTTGCCCTTGAAGAGAGGTTTTCTCAGAAAAAAGATTTGTACAACAGCAAAATAAATCCCACCAAGGGGGATTTATTGTAAAACCTATGTTTATTCTAAAACCTATGATTTTGCAACAGTAAAAAACCATCAACATGAATAACCAACATTACAACAACAAACAGAACTTGAGAGCCAAGGAAAACAGTTTCAGGAAAACAGAATTTGATACAAATGAACAAAACTCTCTTAAATATATTTGTAGAGGGATTCAAGAAGCTCTTACAACTATAAAACAAGAATACTGCTCTATGGAAAAAAAAAAATCAAAGAGTTGATAACGGCATTTATGTTCTAAATATGTTTCCTAAAATAGAATAAAATAAAATATGTTTCCTAAAATAAAATAGAAGAAAGATATATTTAAAATTATAAAATAACAACATAGATGTAAAATATGAGAGTAAAGATAAAACTGCAGAGGAACATTACACATTTGTCTAAAAGAAATCCCAAAAGAGAGAAAGCAAATATACAAACATATAAGAAAAGACTTGATCAGAGAAAACAGTATATAAAAAAAAAAAAAAAAAAAAAATTCCCGATTTGAAGAAAGATACAAGCTTGCCAATACCAGACATAACTTATAAAAAAGAAATTCACACCAGGAAATGTATTAATCCTAAAATTCTGGATACAAAATATAAAGAGAACATCCTAAAAATGTCTAGAGAGAAAAATATCAAACCATTTAAATAGAGCTTGCCTAGAATTAAGTTTCTCATCAGGATCCTAGAAGTCAGTGGAGTAATAACTTTAAATGTATCCAAACAATCAAATACAAGGGTGTGATGAAAATATTTTCCAGCAAGAAAATTACAATTTATAAAAATCTTTTCTGAGATGAAGAAAAAAGAAGAAAAAGAAAACCTGAGATCTAAGTAAGAGTAGGTTGAGTACAGGAGGGCCGGTTCACAAAATCTTAGAATGAATGAGGAGCTGGAATAGCCTATGATACTGAGAGAAACTAAAGAATAAGGGATGATTGTTTATATTTTTGCCCGTGTAAGAAAAGTACAGGAAAAAAACCAATAATTTTCAAAAGTGTCATAATAAAAATATAAAACAATTAAAACTAAAAGACTAAAAATATTTGAGGAAAAAAAAGAGGAGTAAAAATTAATATTAATAATAAAATAGTAATAGTCCATTTAATGTAACCAAGAACATTTGTCTTTGATTAGCACAATGTTGTAATATTAGACACATAGAGAAGGCAATGTAACTTGTGCTGCTTGTTGTATGACAGTCTTTATAAGTGAAGCAAGAGTGTCTCAATTCTGGTTATACAGAGAGTGAAAATATTATCCTAGGCAAGGTGAAGCATATATATAACAACAACTGACTAAGATGTGAAAAGTGGGAAGAATTTTGCAGGGAATTGCAAAGGGGATAAGATCTTCCTTTTAAATAGAGAAGCATTTAAAAGTTTGAGGATAATATAGAAATTTTCAAAAACAATGTAACTAACAAATATTTAAGGGAGCACAAGAGAGAGTATAAGTGATCTAAATCTGCATTTTTAATATTGGAAACCAAAAGGTGTACTCTGTGGTTGCCAAGCAAAAAATATATATAAGCTAAATTCTAATTCTTATGTTAATGGTAACCAGAAAATTTGAATATAGAGAAATTATTTTTATTCATGACAAGGTGTTTTGTTGTTTTTTTCCCCAATACTTATTGTGTGCATATGTGACTGGGATAAAAATTAAAATTAATGAAGATTAATTGGGCTTTTCCCGAAAAAAAAAAAAGCAGAGCTCCATAAATATTCAAGATGCATCTGAAAAATTAATAAAAGTTAGTGGCAAAGTTAAGGCTTAGTATCTAGACTTGGGTCAATGAGTAATTTGGAAAAAGAAAAAGGATAACTGGCTACATAAATAAGTAAGAACTTTGGATATGTGGACATCTTGATAAATTTACACACCAGTTTAGTGACTAGAATGTATTTTGAAAAGTAATCATAAGTTTAACTGATGCAATAATGTTCAGTTGTTTTACATTTAAATAATAAATAACTATTCTCTTAAATCCATTTCATGCATGCCCCTTGGTGTTGATGTTTAATTGATCATCATTGGTAGAAAGATGTCATATTTATAGCTATTTCTACATAGAGATTCCTCCCTAAAGATCAGATCATTTCAAGTGCTTTCAATTTAGGTAATTCTGCCCACTATTCTAGTCAGTGGAGCAGAGATAAGTACACACACACACACACACACACACACACACACACACACATTTCCGGATAAAGAGTGTCTTTCTTTCACTAGAACACTATAAATAGCAAATGTCTCTTGGCTTTTTGGAAAGTGCTCTAGTCTCTAGATTTTGTTGCCAGATCCTTCAGCAGCTTCTTTCTATAGAATGAAGATCTTTTATTACCTCCTCCATTTCCTGTGTTACGTGACCTTCATTCTACCAGGTAAAAGATGTTATTGGTGTGTTCCCATTTAGCAAACAACTTCTAGCTAAAAATAGAAATACTAGGTTATGAGTTAGAAAATGTAGGTTCTTAACACAACCATTTCTTTTAAAAACATCTCTTGATTATGTTGAATCTTGATTTCCTCATTTGGAATAGAGTTATACTAATGTACTTTAATTACCTCATTTTAAAAATTAATATGCAGAAATAAAAAAGATGATCTCTTATCTTTTGGGGGGCTTGATTTCTTTTAGATATTAAAATTATTAAGAACATCATAATTTATTAAATTTATCTATAAGTTTCAGAAGTGAAGCTTTCATAAGAAATTTGCCCCAGGGAAGATGAATGGACTGAGAATAACAGTACATATCTTTTGGAATGTCAATAATAGACTCTACAAGATGATTTAGGATATAAGTCTCAGAATATGCTGGACAATGAGGTACAGCAGAAATTAAAGAACAGGTAAATAATAAATACCTAAAAAAAAACTTGTTGAATTAGTTAATGCATGCAGGAATATAGCAGTGGTTTTATAAAAAAAGATAAATAAATAGATTTCAAAAAATATACTGTCATTAACCCTTTGTGGCAATTATATGATTATGATATTCTTAATAGGTATAGTTTCTGAAGCAATCCAAATTTATTAACAATGGAGAAGTAAATGTATATCTAAAGGTGTTCTAATTTGGCCCTAGAATTGAAAATTCAAGAAGTACACCATTATTAGAAATATAACTGAGTTCAAACTTAGAAGATCTAGATTTTACTACTAGCTCCATACTTGATAGCTTGTGAAATTTGCCATGCAGAGAATTTAAGTGATTTGTCAATATCCTTAACAAAAGAGAGACAGAGAAAGAGAGAGAGGGAGGGAGGGAAGGAGGGAGGAGAGAGAGAGAGAGAGAGAGAGAGAGAGAGAGAGAGAGAGAGATTATAAGCAGAATCAATACCAACCACAATTTTAAAAACAAAAATCTAATATAAAATGTTGTGCTTGTTAACTATAGGCGCTTCAAACTGCAGTTAAGATTTATTGAAACAATGTATTAGATAGCAACCCTACAAACTGAAAATGAGTATCAACTTAGATTCTATTATTGTTATTACAGTTTGTTGCTGTTATTATTAATTATGAAAGGGGCCTGAGTGAGGCTCTCAAATATGATTAGAGAAGGTGTTGGGGCCCATGGTGCCAGTCTGTCAATGAATAACCCTCTGACACAGAGTGCCTAGTGATCTCCTGTCCAAAATGCTAGACACTGAGAAAACAGAGAAATAAAGGGAAGTAATCCTTTGGGCAGGCTTACAAACTAGTTTAAAAAAAAACAAAAACAGATAAATCAATGGATTTGTTTGATTTAGGTTTATATAAGTATGCTTTAAATAGTTTTTAAAAAAATGTGGAATTATGGCAATTGGGGAGGTTTGGAAAAATGCCCCAAATTTTCTGATGAAGAACTTTAAAATCGGGAATAAATCACTTGTATTCAGAACTTGGAAGGGGAAGGAAAGAAAGACAAGGAGTAAGTATGAGAGTCCTGTATGTGCCGAACATTATTTTGTAATTATTCATGTAGATATCTAATCTGACCAACTAGATAATAGTACGAAGTGACTGCTATTGTTTTTTCTTATAGAAGAGAAACATGACCTCAAAGGGTTACTTTTTCAAGGTCACACCTATATGACTATGTGTGATACGTTGAATACAAACCCAAGCTTTTCAGATCATATTTGTTCTTGTACTTCATCATGCTTCCTACAGAAGGCACAGAGGTTAAAGAAAAGGCAGAATAGATTTGTTTAAAGGCAGCAAGGTCACATGGGAAGAGAGCTGCTCTTGAGGTGTATCAGGTCTGTACCATCAAACTATATTCTCAGTGTTGTAGAAAACTTAAATAAGGCTTTGAAGACACTATAAATATGAGTACAAGCTTCCTTTATCTTTTAACCATTCAACCAGATACTAAGTTATAATACCTATTTGAATGGATAGAATGCTTTGTATTTGGCCTTTGATAGACCAAAATAATAATAATAATAATAATAATAATAATAATAATAATAATAAAGTAAACAAGAAAGGGTAATACAAGTAGCAGAATCAGTGGCTTTGAAGGAGTTCATAGAGTAGCACATATCTATCACAAAAGAAGCAATGAAAAGCCTTCAATCTACATGCTTCTCTTGACAACACTGATTATTTTGCATTAATTAATTTGTATTTAAGCAATTTACAAAGTAATTTTAATTTTTTCTGTATTTTATTGATCTGGCTTAAAAAATTATAGCCTTCTCAATTTATAAACTATATATGCTTGAGTTAGCTAAGAAACAAATAAAACACAAATATTAATATTTTAGAATGATCTATAACCTTTTATGACCTTTACATGTTGGTACTATTAATTGATAGGAAGTCTCTTCAATAGCAGAAATCCAGTTACCAGCCATGGCATAAGAGGCAAGTATAACCTTTGCCAAACTCACAGCACTTCAGGAATAGAAAACAAAACAGATTTGATTCTAAGATAAGAATAAGAGGTGGATAAGAGATGGGAAACTAAATGTGACATTAAATTCTCAGTTATCATCCAACTTTAAGATATATTCAAGTCAAGAAAATTGACAAATAATTCCAAATAGAGGAAATGGAATTATTTCATTTAATTCCCAAAGTAAAATTGTTCCTACATTCAGGTTGCAACTTGAAAAACCATTTATCAAGCATATATAGAGTACAATATTAAGAATTTATTGCTAATAATTCTGGGTATATGTACACAATCATTTTAATAGAATTATACCTTATAAATTGTCATTCTCAAAACACTCAACTTCTATTTTTTACATCTTCATATTCCTCTGTGGTAACAAAATAATTAAGGCTCTTAGTCACAGTCAAATCTACCATAAGCAGTGTCTAATTTGAGGCAATATCCACACATCTACTGAGTGCTTTTCATATGTCAGTGCTCAACTTTTGCAATGTTGAGGCCATGGATGAAATATTTAAAGTATGGATTCTGGACTTGGAACAATTTAAAATTAAATCCTGGGTTCGGCATGTATTAGTTTTGCAAACTTGGGCAAATTCTTTGGGCAATTAAAGCCTCATGTTTTTTTGTTTGTTTTTTATCCTCACCTGAGGACATTCCTGCATTTATGTTGAGATATAGTGCATGAGGGAGAGAGGAAGAGATAGAGAGAAACATTGATGCGAGAGAAATGCATCGAGTAGTTGCCACCCACATGACTCCAACTGGGGCAAGGAACAAACAGCAACCGAGGTACGTGCACTTAGTGAGAACCAAACTGGGGCCTCTCTGGTCCATGGGCTGACGCTCTAACCGCTGAGCCAAACTGGCCAGGGCAAAGCCTCATGTTTTTATCTGATCAACATCTACCTCAAAGTTGTATGATAGTTAAATGAGATATGTATGCAAAATGTTTAAAACAATACTTGACAGATTTTTAATGAATGAACACTATTTTTATTATTATTATTTTTGAACCCAAACATATCATGTTCTCTTTCTACTTAAGGGTGAAACTCATACTATATTTTCTGCCTGGTTCATGTTCTTTTTACATGCTTATGGTTCATTTGAGTAACTCTCACTCATTTTTTAAGGTTTATATTTTCATATAACTCTTCCATAATATCATACCTTGACAATTAGCAATAATCTATTCACACAATGGACCCAATATATTTCTGTATCGTGGTATTTAATTATCTATCTTTTTTTTTTTATTCTTGTGTATTTATCTTTCCCTCAATGTTTTTTTTTTTCTATGTCCTATATATTTTTCCAGTTTTTTAAATAAATTTATTGGGGTGATATTGGTTAATAAGACTATAGGTTGTAAGCGTACAATTCTACCCTGGGTTCAGATTATATAGCATCTGTATATTGCATTGTGTGCCCACTACCCAAAGTCAAATCTTTCATCACCATACATTTGAACCCCTTTACCATTTATTGCTCCCCAACCCCTCTTTCCTCTGGTAACCACCACGCTAATGTGTGTGTCTATGAGTTTGTGTTTTTCTTGTTTGTTCAATTGCTGCTTTCAGTTTTATATCCCACCTATGAATCAAATCATATGATTCTTAACTTTTTTCTTTCTGACTTATTTCACTTAGCATGTTATTCTCAAGATTCATCCAGGTAGTTGCCAATGTCAGTATTTCATCTTTTCTTATAGCTGAGTATCATCCATTGTACCACATCTTCTTTATTAAATAAACTAGCAAAGTTCACTTCTGTTTTTTCCATGCCTTGGCCACCATGACTAATGCTGCAGTGCACAACAGATCTTTGAGAATAAATGTTTTCAAATTTTTCAGACACCCAGAAGAGGGGTTGCTGGGTCATATGGTAACTCTATTCTAAATGTTTTGAGGAACCTCCACACTTTGTTCCATAGTGGCTATACCAGTTTACATTCCCACCAGCAGTGAATGATGGTTCCTTTTCTCCACAAGCTCTCCAACACTTGTTATTCCTTATCTTATTGATATAGCCATTCTAACAGGTGTAGAGTGGTATCCTATTACAGTTTTGATTTGCATATTCCTAATAGGTAGTGAAGTTGAGCATAAAGGCCACTGCATTGTTTAAAGTTGTACTCAGTACAGATTTAATTTCAATTATAGTCTTTATTCACCATTTCTTAACCTCTGAGAAACTATTTTATTCCAGACACTGTTGTAAACATTTTAACATATTAACTCATTATGTCTCACAGTAACTCTTTGTAGATACTATTGTCACCATTTTTCAAAGAACTATCAATCTACATCATACAAAGACTTTAAAAAATATTTTAAAATTTTGTTTGCTCTACCAGATGTTCCCAACTTAGACACATAGATTCAATGCAATCTCTAAAAATGGTAGTAATTTCTCTTGTGGATATTGACAAACTTACTCTGCAGTTTATATGGAGAGGCAAAAGACACAGAATAGCAAACTCCCTATGAAAAAGAACAAGGTACTGATATCACCTGACTTCTAAACTTTTTATAAAGCTACAGTAATCAAGACAGTATGGTGTTGATAAAACAATAGACAAATAGATCAATGGAACAGGTTAGAGAACTCAGAAATAGACACTCATAAATATAGTCAACTGATCTCTAACAAAAGAGCAAAGTGAATACAATGGAACAAAAGCAATCTTATCAACAAGGGAAGTTGAAAGAAGCAGAAATCAATATGCAAAAAAATCTAGACACAGACATTATATACTTTACCAAAAAAAAAAAAAAAAGAGTCAAAATCAATCATAGGCCTAAATATAAAGTGAAAACTTCTAAAACTCTAGAAGATAACAGGAGAAACTTAGATGTCCTTGGGTATGGCAATGACTTTCTAGATACGATACCAAAAAATAATTCATGAATGAAATAATTGATAAGTTGGACTTCATAAAATTAAAAACTTCTGCTCTACAAAGGACAATGACAAGATAATGAAATGACAATCTCAAACTGGGAGAAATAGTTGCAATAGACACATGATAAAAGACCATTATCCAGAATATATAAAAAAAAAATTCTCAAAACACAACAATAATAAAAAACCTACTTAAAAATGGACTAAAATTCTTAAAAGATACCTCAAACACAAGTTATGCAAATGGAAAATAGCATATGGAAGGATACTCCACATATATGTCATCAGAAAAACACAAATTAAAACAAGATACCGTAACAAACCTATAAGAATGGCCAAAATCCAGAATACTGACACCAAGTTCTAGGGAGACTATGGGGCAAGAGTAACTGTCATGCATTGCTAGCAGAATTACAAAATGGTACAGCCAGTTTGGAATACAGTTTGGCAGTTTCAAAACAAAGCATACTGTTACTATATGATCAAGCAACAACATACACATTGATGTTTATAAAAGCTTTATTCATAATTTCCAAAACTTGGAAGCATCCAAGATGTCCTTCAGTAGTTGAATGAATAAATAAACTGTGGTACATCTAGACAATAGAACATTATTTAGTGCCAAAAAAACAAATGAGTAATGAAGCCATAAAAAGACATGTGAAAACCTAATATTCATATAACTAAGTTAAAAAATTCAGTCTGAAAATATTATGTATTGTGATTCCAACTATATGACATTCTAGAGAAGGCAAAACTATGAAGATAATAAAAACAAATTCAATGAGCCTAGCAGGGGTGGCTCAGCAGATTGAGCATCATCCCATGGACTGAGAAGTCTAGGTTCGATTCCCCATGAGGGCACACACCAGGGTTGCAGGCTTGATCCCCAGTAGGGGGCTTGCAGGAGGCAGCCGATCAATGTTTCTCTCTCACATTGACGTTTCTATCTCTCTCTCCCTCTCTCTCTAAAATATCAAATAAAAACATATTTATTTTTAAAAAATCAGTGAGCCCTGGCTGGAATTTCTCAGTGGTTAGAACATTGGCCTTTGGAACAAAGAATCATGGGCTTGATTCCCAGTCAACGACATGTACCTGGGTTGCAGGTTCTATCCCCAGCCCTGATTGGGACACATGCAGGAGGCAACCAGTTGATGTAATCTCTCTCACTTCAATGTTTCTCTCTCTACTCCCCCACCCCTCCTCCTCTCCCTCTTACTCTCTCTAAAAAAAGAAAAAAAATCAATGGAAAAAATATCCTTAAGTGAAGATGAAAAGAAAAAAAAATGTCAATGATTGCCAGAGGGTTTGGGGGAGAGATTAATAGGTAAAGCCCAGAAGATTGTTAGCACAGTAAAAATATTCTGTATAATATGTATATATTATTATACATTTGCCCAAACCCATAGAATGTACCCTAATGTAAACTATGGACTTTGGATAATTATGACTTTGGTTCATCCTTGGTAAAAAAAAAAAAAAAAAAAAAAAAATACTATTCTGTGAATAATGTTGACAATAGGGAAAGCTATTCATGTGTGGATGCAGGAGATATATGGCAAATCTCCGTATTTTCCTCTCAAAATTTTTGTAAAGCTAAAACTACAGTAAAAAATGAAATCCTCAAAAAATGAAAAAATATAAAAGAGCTACTATGAATTCATGAACAATAAAAACTTATACCAATAAGATAATAAGCACATTATATGAACAATTAAATAGAGGAAAAAATGAAAAACTGTTCAAAACAAATAACCAAAGGCATAAAAAAATAAAGTTGCAATGAATACCAATTTATTTTAGGGCAAAATTTGTTGGTGGCAGTGTATAAGTGAAAAACTCTGCACTCTATCTCTTTTATAGCTATCCCAAGTGTGTATCATGTAAATATTAAAACATGCAATGCCAATTTATCATAACCCTAAAATCTTAACATTTTATTTTTTTTAATTAATTAATTTATTTTTGTTACAGATGTTTCTCTTTTTTCCCCACTGATTCCCTCCTTCTCCTCCCTCCCCACCCTGTCCCCACTTTTGCTGTCCATGACCATTGTTCATATATACATGCATATAAGTTAAATCTTAACATTTTAAATATGATCTAGTTGAAAGATTGAATAAATTGCCTCTTGTAATTTCAAGGGAGTATTTTGAAGCTCTAAAAAATTTTAAATCTTTTTTAAGTAAAGTAGTATATGGCAACATTTAATTATATATTAATTAAAACATAGTCTAATTTTATGGAGATATGAAATATTTTAAGTGCCATCTTATATTTTTATATTGTCCAGATTTGTTACTATGTACACACAGTAACTTTTTAAATCAGAAATAATATGTTCTGAAATAAGAGATCAGTAATTTCAGTTATTCTTTTTTTACTATAGCCACATGTACCTTGGTGGATCCTGATAAGTGCTCAAAATCTTATGGTCACTGTAGGAAACGCTGTTTAAAACAGGAAAAACAAATTGATATATGTTTCTCACCAAGTAAAATTTGCTGCATTGAAAGGGCGTTTGAAAAATGATTAATCTTGGAAAGAAAAATGGACCTCTGACCAAAGAAGTAACGCGTTCACCAATGCAGAGAGATCTTGTAACATAATTAGAACCTCTGTAATAAATAAACACATAGACCAATGTTGCTTTCTTTGTAGGCACTAATTATGTATTCAATGAAATGGAGTACACCCTTCTTCCCTTCTCTAAGCTGGAGGTTTCTGTAGAGGCATACTATGGATACCGTGTTTGCTTCAATTTAGGACCACTTTTGATCTGTTACGGTTCAACTCAACTTAACCAAGTGAACATTTTTTCAACTTAACCATGATCTCATTACAAATTTGAGGAATGCATATTAATACCCATAGGCTTATCAATGATCTAGACATCATCGTCATGTTAGTGATGTTAAGTGACAGGACACCTAAGAAATTAGGTAAATGCATAAGTTACAGCAGAGCACAGAGCTACTCGTTGGCCTTTGTTCTCTCAAGTTTCTGCTCATTCAAAAAGGCATATTGAACACTATCTAATACTAATATAATTAAATTGGGTTTAAATACAATCTGAACTTTGGCTAATGAATTTAGACTCAAAATATGAGCTCGGCCTTTTTTCACTTATCTCTGGATGACATAAAAAATGCATAAATGTCTGTTATTTCAGCCTCAACATAAGCCCTAGGCGACACAGATACTCTCTGTAACATTCACGTTGGAGAAGACACGTGGAGACTGAAATTTGTTTTCCAGCTAAAAACAAAGGAAAAATCAAGCCTTTATCAATATTGTACCAGGTTCCCAAACATATTTGTTAATTATTATGTTCTTTTTTTTTTGTAATTTTTTCTTTATTCTCACCTGAGGACATTTTTTTTTTTTTTTTTTGCATTTATCATGAGATAAAGCAGGAGGAATAGAGAGAGGTAAAGAGAGAGAGAAACATCGATGTGAGAGAGACACATCAAGTGGTCGTCACCCACATGACCCTAACAGGGCCGGGGACAAACTGCAACCAAAGTACATGCCTTTAGCGGGAACTGAACCTGGGACTCTGGTCTGCGGGCTGACTCTCTAACTGCTGAGCCAAACCGGCCGGGGCAATAATTATGTTCTTTTAAACTAACTTAATTTCTGGATCAAGAAAATAGTTTTTTTTTGTTTGTTTGTTTTTTGTTTTTAATTGGAAATCTGGTATCTCGTGAAACAAGTGGGAATGTCCACCTTAAACAACTTCTAAAAGGACAGGCATCATATTTAGCCACCAAGGATTTATGTGATGTGTATCTTTAAAAAAAAAAAAAAAAAAATGTTTCATTTATACAGAATGCACAAGTTGGAGGCAAGGAGCATAGCTAAAGTCTGTACTTCTGTAAAACCAAAAGTCAGATATCAGGATCCAATGTAAGGATTTCAAAAGAGAAGGGGGGGGGGAAGCTCTAAGGGCAAGGAACAAGTTAAAAAAGTTGAATACAGTAAGACATAAGGCAAAATAATTCAAGGTTTACATCAACACTTTAAAGAAAATAATTTTAGAAGGTGGTGCTAGCTTAAAATAGTAGCAACTTAATGGTGAAATGAAAACTGGTGGAAAACTTTACAAAAAACCAGGTGACAAGATACCCCTGCATATGTTATTATATAGATGGAAGGAGAAAAAACCTCAAGAGCTTAAAGGCCTGTGTGCTGTCTGTGTCTGTGTGGGAGATATTAGATGAAGAACAGTGACCTTCTGACGGATATGAGAATAGAAGGCTCCCCAGATGCCAGCAGCATTCTGGGAAGGACAGTAGTATGACAGTTTGATCACAGCAGTTACAACTGGGAGCATTTTCCAACCTAATAATGGGTCAGTGAAGTGATAATAAGCAATGACTTACAGAGCTGGGGAAGTCTATTCCTCTGAACTCCTGAAACTGATGAGACAGGGCTACTATTAAAAAAATAAAATGCAAAAGTCCTTGGAACAGAAAAAAATTGACCAGGACTAGGTAAATAGAAAAGGGAAATTGAATTGTCTCAATATCCCAATTTAGTGTGTTAATTAGGGACAAAGAACAATGTAAGAAATACCTAGTCCTTAAGCTCTAACCAAGGTATTGGCAGCATCATGTACTTGCTCATTATGTGATATTTCATTGTGTATGGCTTTTGTAGATGCTTCTTCTACAAGTAGATTTCATGTAAATTATAAGTGTTCAGGAAGTATTAGATCCTTTTCCTTTATCTCTCCTCAAACCTATAACAGGTTTATAACCATAGTAGGTATTAATCAATAAATGTTGGAAAATAATAAACCATTTATTTGAGATATTATCTATCTTAAGCAGATGACATTTTATGGTTTTGAATTTATTTCAGTACTGAAATGGAAAACTGAGATTTTCAGAAGAAGGTATTTCTAGTTTTAATACTAGAGGATTGACTATTGACTTATGTAATCTTGGACAAGTTACTAAACTAGTTGTCAGTTTGCTCATCTATAAATATAATGAAAATGTACTGTTATTAAATAAATAAAAAAAAAGCTGTGAGTCTATATTATTTCAGCCCTCCAAATGGGAATTTTGATCTTTATATATCTCTCAACTATTTAAGATGGTCCTTAACATGCACGTCATATGAAACATTAACATATATATATTTTTTTTAGTTTCTGCCATTCTGTTACTCCAAGATGACTTCCTATTCATGGTAGTAAGAGTGCATATGATAGCCCTGGCCAGTTTGGCTCAGCGGTTAGAGAGTCGGCCTGCGGTCCGGAGAGACACTGGTTCAGTTCCCGCTAAGGGCACGTACTTCTGTTGCAGTTTGTCCCCGGCCCTGGTTGGTCGTGCAGGTGGCAGCCACTCGATGTGTCCCTTCACATCGATGTTTCTCTCTCTCTCTCTCCCTTCCTCTCTCTCCCTCCCACTCTATCTGTACAACAAATGGAAAAATATCCTCAGGTGAGGATAAAAAAAAAAAAAGTGCATATGATAAAAAAAATAACTAATTTATTTATTTATTTTGAAGATAGAGCCAAAAGATTGTTGGGGATAGAAAAGTGAGAATGTGACTTGCATCCCTGAAAGCCAGGGATGATCTAAGGTTTTTTTATTTTGATTTGTTTTGTTCCAGTAATTGTAAAAATAGAGTTGTTATTTAATGAGCAGAGAAAACTGTAGGAAGTATATGTTTAGCAAGTGTATGTCAGGAGCTCAATTTTGGTATATTAGGTTCTATATCTAATAGAAAATGTCGCCCTGGCCAGTGTGGCTCAGCGGTTAGAGCATCAGCCTGCGGTCCAGAGAGACCCGGTTCAGTTCTCGCTAAGGGCATGTACCTCAGTTGCAGTTTGTCCCTGACCCTGGTTGGTCGTACGGGTGGCAACCACTCGATGTGTCCCTTTCATGTCAATGTTTCTCTCTCTCTCTCTCTCTCTCTCTCTCTCTCTTCCTCTCTCTCCCTCCCACTCTATCTGAACAACAACATCAACAACAACAACAACAAAACACAAAAAAATGTCCTCAGGTGAGGATAAAAAAAAAAAGTCACATAGGCATCTGGATATTTGTCTCAAGTTCAAACAAAAGGCTTCAGGATGGAGATTAAAAACTTAGAATCGCCAGCTTCTACATGGCATTTAAAGCCATGAGATTGACTGAGATCTCCATGGAAATGAGTACAGATAAAATTTCTAAGAATAACCCCTATGTTCCTGGGAATAGCAAAATTCAAAATTTGATAAGATGAGAAACCAACACATGAGATTAATAAGAAATAACTTGCAAGTTGGGAGACAATAAGTAGTGTGGTATCCTGAAACTCCACTCACAAGCATGTATCTATTATTGCTAATAAGCCAAGTAAAATAAAGACAAAAATGACCAATAAATAAATTATCATGTGAAAGTGTTTGAAGACTATTACTAGAACAATTTCAGAATAATGAAAGAGGAAAAAAGCTGGTTCACAAGAGACTAAGAGGATGACAATTTAAGAAAAAATATAGAAAACGATTTTGAAGAGGCTGGCAATAAATCAAACAAAAGAAATAATGTGGTAGCTAGAGGTCAAAATGAGGTCCAGAGAATTTTTTTTTTTCAATGCTTGTAACTGGAAAATTTAAAAAATTAAAAGATTTAGTGGAGAAGAGAAAAATGATCATTAACTAGCCAAAAAGGGTGGATCTAAGACAATAACAAAGATGTCAGCCTTTTTGCTGGGCTCATGGGAGCTCAGAAAGCTTATCCAGAGCATAGAACTGAAGTAATTCCCACTGGTAAAACTGGGGAACAGTAATTACAGAAGTTAATAAAATTCTTTTATGGTTGCCAAAATTTCTCAATAAAGTAGAAAGTCAGGTCTTGAGCTAAGATTTAGAAAATGGGTAAAGGCTATGGAAGCTTCAGGGGTGAGGAGAGAACATGAAATAATTTCCTAAAAGAGTAGAAGAGTGAAAGGAACCAGAAAATGTATATGATTGTCAGAGAGCACTAATTAATTAATGACAGTGAGTTTATTGTAAAAACAGTCAGTGTGTTTTATTCTCTCATCACATGGGAGTGCAGACATGGTGTAAACTGAGAAAGGGTTTGTTCACTGTCAGATCTGGAAGTCAGTCACGGAATGTTGGATCCTCTGATGTGGAGCAGAAATAAAATTATATTGATATTAGGATATAAGTAGCTGGAAAGGGCTGTATAATGTTAGTAGAGCTATAAATATTTAGCTATAAAAGCTATAGAGATTAATTATTAAATCTTTTGTTAGTTTTTTATTTTGTATTCATTCACTGATCCATGCATTCAAACATTATTAAGCATCTACTATGTCCTTTACTATACAAAATACTGGTGATTTAACAGCAAACAATAAATTCAATGCTATCATCAAGAAAATACTCAAGCCCTAGCTGGTTTGGCTCAGCAGTTACAGCATTGGCCCATAGACCAAAGGGTCGCAGGTTCAATTCTTAATCAAGGGCACATACCTGGGTTGCAGGTTTGATCCTCAGCCCCGGTTGAAGTCATGCAGTAGGCAAC